CAGAAATCCTGTCCTTGCCACGTGCTGCTTCAACATTGCCTGTTCACCACTTGCCATCCCTGACATCAACTTTAATGACATAACAAATACGGTAGAACACTTCCTGGCTTCCCACTAAAGCTAGATGTTAGTAGTTAACATTTAATCCCAAAACTCCACAAGCCTTATCTTACTCCATTTAATTCCAGCCAACCTAGTCTACATGGTGGTTTGCAGGCCCACAGTGAAACCCTTGTTTAAAAAAAAAAAAAACTTCAGCCAGGCATTGGTGGTGCACGCCTTTAATCCCAGCACTTGGAAGCAGAGCCAGGTGGATCTCTGTGAGTTCCAGGCCAGCCTGGGCTACCAAGTGAGTTCCAGGAAAGGTGCAAAGCTACACAGAGAAACCCTGTCTTGAAAAGGGAGGGGGGGGGGGGAGTGGTGACTTCAGGAAAACTTTCATTTAACAGTGACAGAATTATAGACCTCTGGCCTACACAATCCTCCAGCAGGGGCTGTTTTACCAGGATGCAACACTGGAGCCTCAGGTAAAGAGTATGAGCACTCAAAATAACTAAAATAGAGTCTTTATAGTTAAGGAGAAATTTCAGACAAATGTAAATTTCATTATGTGTTACACTTGACATTTGTACAACAGGAAATTCCTGTGTATATATCTACTTCTAAAATTCTGCCTCAAAAAGAGTCCTTCAGTTAAAAATATTTGCTTTTGGGTAGTTAACATAATTTTAATATTTTAGTTAATGTAAAACCCATTAACTCCATAGCCTATGCCTTTTAAATAAAACAAAAATTGAGCTAGCTAAAACTATAATACACTTGATTTATTTACTTAATTATTAAAAATTCAAACACAAAAAAATTCAAACACAATAATTGGCAGGGCATGGTTATCTTTTTTTCAATTCAAAAACAAATTCAAAATGCATTCTCTTTTAATCAAACTATTGTCATGAGGCCTTATTTCTACCTTGGCTGTAAGTTAGTGATCAACACTGATAATATTAAAAGTTTATTTCCTTCATATTTCATAAAAAATATTTAACTTTCAAGGGATATGGCGAGGCATGTATTTTATTCCAGGACTAGGGAGGCAGAGGCAGGCAGATCTCTGTGAGTTCAAGGCCAGCCTAATCTAGATAGTGCCAGGTCAGCCAGAGCTACATAGTGACCCTGTCTCAACCAACCAACCAACCAACCAACCAACCAACCAACCAACCAACCAACCAACCAAGCAAGGCGATTAACTTCCATTTCTTCAGTGCACTGTTTGCAGTTCCACATTGTTTACCTACTGAAAACCTTAATCACATTTGTTATGCATCGGTTTCACTTTCAGGGTCTTCACTAACTACAGGGTCTTTTCCAAATGGATGCAGAGATACACAATCAAAAATCTCTTTACTTTCCATTTCACACATTAGTTTCCATTTACATGTTTCAAAAACAATTAGAAGCCGGGCGGTGGTGGCGCACGCCTTTAATCCCAGCACTCGGGAGGCAGAGCCAGGCGGATCTCTGTGAGTTCGAGGCCAGCCTGGGCTACCAAGTGAGTTCCAGGAGAGGCGCAAAGCTACAGAGAGACCCTGTCTCGAAAAACCAAAAAAAAAAAAAAAAAAAATTTAAAAGTTGGAAGCCAGTTACCACTACATTTTACCACCTTGTAAAGAATTATCTTGGCTTTTCGCAAAAGAAAAAAAAAATCCAAAACAGAACTGACCTAAACATTTCCCAAAGTTGTTAGGCTATGCTGTCATTCTTTAGCAAAATGTTTAACTTCTCAAAAGGCCACATTTCTCTCCATTAGTAATAGTACTAGGAATTAAAATAATAAAGTGGCAATAACCTACCTTCCAGTTCAGAGGAGTTTCACTAACACAACGGAGTTGCACTAATACAACTAAGCTCATGTTAACAGGGAGGCACAATGTGTGTGCATATGTGCATGGCCCAATCGCTGCAAAAATGAGCACTTGTATGTCTACTCTTTCTAAAAGGAAGAATTTAAATACAAATATAAAACATAGCAATCTCAAATTAATGTAATAAGTTGTAAAGTTTTTCTTTTTCTTTTCTCCAGACAGGGTTTGTCTGTCTAGCCCTGGCTATCCTGGAACTGCTCTGCAGACCAGGCTGGCCTTGAACTCAGAGATCCACCTGCCTCTGCTTCTTGAGTGCTGGGATTAAAGGTGTGCACTACCACGGACCTTCTTATGCGAAATAAATGTTTTTCAAACAGCAAACGGGAAGGAATCAAATTAAAACTCTAACATGGTTTAAACCCGTGGTGCTTTTTAAAACGGTGTGTGTTTTAAACCGACCAAGTCCAAAGTTACTAAGACTCCACATACCTTCTCCAAATTTCAGTCAAGGGAGACATAATGGTATTTTATGCAGGACCTCACCATACAATGTAACAGACAAACTCTTAACTTTGTATCACAAAGAACCTAATGTAATAATGTATACATCCTCTAAACAGTGTTGCTCTCAAGAGATACACAGCTAGGTAGGAACTAGCAGGCAATAAAATATGGAGGCGACTGAAGGCCCTGGAACATTTCGTAGTGGAAGGATAGCAAACCTGAAAAAAGGTACATTGGGTCAAGACCTTAATGGGTTCCCGAAGCCCAGGCGGCTATGCCTCAGTTAATACTACTATTTTTTCCTGAACAACAAATGGATGCACGTAAAGCAAAGAAATAAGCCTATCCATAAATGTGCTGGCTTCTTCCTTCAAGTCCCAGCGCACCCTTCCACCACCAACAGTTCAATGAGAATATCATACAATGAAATGAGTAAGCAACACACGCCATTCTGCAACTTTCAAAGACGGTCACCAATCTTCCGCAGCACCCAGAAGAGCCACAATAGCTGGGCAACTAACTCACTGGCACTAAAACGGGTTCCCTAATTTTTCAGGCAAAAGTTGCCAAATAACCACTTGGTAAAGACAACATTTCTTGGCCAGTTCATCCACCGAGCACAGTCCTCACGTACGCTCAAAAACAATCGAAAGCCATTCCCTGCCCAAAGTTACTAGGCAAGCGACGATTAAAGCTGTCTTCTCCCCGAAACAAAGTGCTCTGGGCCGTCAGCGCCGCGGAACCCGGCCGCGTCCCCGAAACTCCGGCTTGCTCACACCTGGGCCCGTGCGATCCCAAGCGCCGGCTGCGGAGCCGGGCGGTGCGGTTCGGGGCGGTGGGGGATGGGGAGGACAGGCTCGAATGGCTTCCTAATGTATCATTAAGGGGCAAAAGCACCGGTCTGGGAGCAAGAAAAGTTAAAGGAGCCGCGAGCTGACAAAGAGCGCCGGCCGCCGCACCGGGACCACCCGGCCGCGGCGGCGTTTGACAGCTCGGTCCCTGGCGCCCACAGCTTTGTGGCTCCAAGCGGCCGGGCCGGGCAGCGAGCTGGGCGTGCTCGGCGGGGCGTGTGTGGACGCCGGGCTAGGCCCTGGGGAAGCCGCCGGGCGGTTCTCCCAGAAGCGAGGCCGAACTCCAAAGTAAAGTGCGCGGCGCGGCCGGCGGGACCTGCGCGGGCGCCGCCGAACCGGGCCGCGCCTGGGCCGCCCCGCCCCCACCGGGCCGGGGGCCTGACAGCTCCGGGCCGCGCCGCCGCTGGCCGCCCGCCTGGCTCCCTCGCGCTCAACTTACTTCTTTCTGGCTCTCTGGAAAGGGGAAGCGCCATCTTTGCGAGGCCGGCCCCGAGGTCTTTTGTCTGCGGCTGCGGGGCTCGGGGCCGGGGCTCCGGGCTCCTCGGGGGGTGCTGGCGGCGGCGGCTGCTGCTCCGCGCTCCGGTCCTCCTCCGACGACATCCTAGTCACCAGGAAAGACACATGGATCCCGGTCCTCCTCCTGGGGGGCTCCTCCCGCCGCAGCGGCCGCAGCCGCCGCCGCTGCTGCTGCTCGAGTTGCTCCTCCCCGGCTCAGCCTCTCGCATTTCCCGCAGCCCCGGGAGCAGCAGCAGCGGCAGCAGCGGCAGCAGCAGCAGCAGCAGCAGGTACCGGGAGAGGCGGCAACATGGAGCTAGCAGGACACGCACTCACACACATCGGCGCGGGCGCGCGCACTCGGCGCGCAGGGGCCCGCGGGGGGCGGCGGGCAGGCGGGCGGGCGGGCGGGCGGGCGGGGCCGGGGCGGGCGGGGCCGGCCGCGCGGGGCGGGGCGGGGCGCCGCGGCCGGGGATGGGGGACAGCGGGGCCGGGCCGGAGGGCGGCGCCGAGCGGGGCGGGGCGGGGCGGGGCGCGACGCGAAGGGGCGCGGGCCCGGGGCGGCCGCAGGGGTCTCCGCCCGGCCCCTCCCCCAGGCCGCCCGCGGCGGGAGGAGAAAGGACCGCGGAGGGGGCGGCGGGGCGGCGACAGCCACCCCTCCCCCGCGCCCGCAGCCCGTCAGGCCCACGCCGCGGCGAAGTTTTGACAGCTGCTCCAGTTGTTGTGGTGGGTTCCGGGGTGGCGCGAGCGCCGGCCCCTCAGCCGCGCGCCGGCGGTCGCTCCCTCAACACACACTGCTCGCTCACGGCGCGCCCCGCGATGGCTAGTTCCCTCACGCTCGGGGCTCGCGCGCGCGGGCGATCGCTGCCTCCACACGGCGAGCTCTCGCCGTTCCCTGTGCTCGCTCGCTCGCCCGCCCGCTCGCTGGCGAATTGCTCCCTCACGCTCGGGGCTCGCCCGCTCGGGATCTCTCCCTGGCGCTAGCTTTCGGCTCCATCAAGCCTGGCTCCCTCACGCTGGGTCCCCTCCTCTCGCTCGCTCGCGAACGCTCGCTTCTCTCTCCCGGGGCACTAGAGGAGGAAGTTTTGCGGCTGTGCGTTCACCACACAAACACCACACGCACACGGCCGTGGCCGTCGCGCGAGGCCCGCACCCGGGTCCCTCGGGGCGACCCGCACCACAGACCTCTCAAACTCGCCGCCGGCTCGCCCACACACAGGCGCCTCCCGCCCCCGCCCCCGCCCCCCCCCCCGCGCGCGGCTGCCACTCACGGGCCCGGCCCCGCGCATGCGCCGCGCGCAGCCTGGCCGCTGCCGCTGACCTCACCGCCCCTCCCCCGCCGGCTCTGACGCGGCCGTGGCTGCCACTCGGGCTCTGGCGGGCGCCAAGCTGCGGACCGGGGATCCGGGATCAGGGTCGGGCCTGCCCCGGGTCGGGGAGTGGTGTAAACACTCCGGAGCGTGCACCCGCGTGCGGGGCGCGCACGTGCCTCCGCGACCCCCTGCGGGCGTGGGCCGCCCCGGGCCCCGCGGAGTCCCACGTAGGCTTCCCCGCTGCGGCGCGGCCATGGCAGGACGACGTTCGATCTCAACTCCAGCTGTAGTTCGACGTCATGTTTTAAACACTGTTGAGCCCGGGAGGCTGCTTGACAAAAAGCCCAGCGAGCAGGTTGAGAGGAATAAAAGGTGTCTACACGGACAGAAATTCATCAGCGTGTACGATGTCCGTGCTAAAGAGATTTAGAAAAGAAAAATGGGAATTCTGCTAAGCTGCCTCCCGTCAAAAACACAAATGCTACCTTAAAAAATGGGGCCAGAATCCGCCTAAACCGTGCCGGGTGTGGAAATCTCTAGGACGCTGGGCTGCTCCGCGCTCCCTTCCTACTGTTGGTTGGCGTGTGGGAGTGGGAATAGTAGAGACGGGAAAAGAGATCTGTGGAGCATTGTGGAAGGCTTAGGGTAGACCGTCCCCGGCTGAGCGCTGCACGGAGCCCGGAATCCCAGCGCTCTCGGCGGCGGCGGCGGCGATCACTTCTTTCCATCCTCAGCGACAGTTTCAATGGTTTCCTGCTGCCTAGCAGCCAGGTTATTAACATTGAACAGGGCTTCCCTTCTGAATCAAACTTTGGGGGTCCAGAATATATTTCAGCTGAAAGCACAGTTTTTTGTTTTTGTTGTTGTTGTTGTTGTTTGTAATGGCTGAAATGAGAAATTGAGTCGTTAAGTCATTTGAATCCCTTCAGGGTTTAATCTCTGCGGGCCTTTTCAGCTTTTTTATGTGTACAGTCGAAGGAAGCTTGGAGAAGGGAAGAAGGCTGTCGTGATAAAGGTAAGCCACAAATTAAAAGAGAAATATAATGCACTGTGACTTTTAATTATTAAATAAAAATATAAAAGACGCCTCTTCATTTCCTTCTACACATTTCGCTTTAAATAAATGCTTTTTGGAAATTGAGGTTTCTAGACAATTGGCTTTTTTTAATTTATTGTTGTGGTAATATATTGTTGAACCCAGGGCTTTCCACATACTAATCAAGCACTCCACCGCTAAGTTATAGCCCTAGACCTGAATCGTTTTTAAAGATTTATTTATTTATGTGTATGTATGTATGTATAAGTTTATGTGTACTATGTGTGTCCAGATACCTGCAGAGACCAGAGGGTATCCAATCCCCTAGAACTGGAGTTACAGGCACTTGTGAGCTGCCCTGTGAGCAGCAGAAATCAGCTCCAGTCCTCTGCAAGAATACGTGCTCTTGTCGGGCGGTGGTGGCATAAGCCTTTAATCCCAGCGCTCCAGAGGCAGAGGGAGGCAGATCTCTGTAAGGCCAGCCTGGGCTACAGAGTGATTTCCAGGACAGCCAGGACTGTTAACACAGAGAAACCCCATCTTGGAAAAAAAAAATAGTATTCATCTAAAAAAATTAAAATGTTACATTGTTGTTATTGTTGAAATAGAAGAACAGGCATGGAGCCCAACCCACACCTGTAATCTCAGCGCTAGGAAGGCAGAGGCAGGTGGATCTATGAGTTCAAGGCTAGCATGTTCTACATAAGACAGCCAAGGCTACATAGTGAGACCCTGTCTTTAAAAAAAAAAAAAAAAAAAAGAGCCGGGCGTGGTGGCGCACGCCTTTAATCCCAGCACTCCCGAGGCAGAGCCAGGCGATCTCTGTGAGTTCAAGGCCACCCTGATCTACAGAATGAGATCCAGGACAGGCACCAAAGCTACACAGAGAAACCCTGTAAAGAGAGAGAGAGACAGACAGAGAGAGAGAGAGAGAGAGAGAGAGAGAGAGAGAGAGAGAGAGAGAGAGAGAGAGAGAGAGAGAGAAAGAAGCCTGGCAGTGGTGGCACATGCTTCTAGTTTCAGCACTGGGAGGCAGAGGCAGGTGGATCTCTGTGAGTTTGAGGTATATAAAGTTACACAGAGAAACTTTTCCCCCAAAAAAAATAACAATCATGATGATAGAAATTTGAACTAGGAGTAAGATAATTCACAAATTAAAGCAAAAGAGGAAGTTGATAATAGAACTTAAAATTTAAAAACAAATTGTAAAATCAAGCTCAAAAATAAATAGGCTTGATGGAATAAACCTAGAACCCAGTACTTAGGAGGAAGCAGGAGAATCGGTAGGTCAAGGACATCTCTAGTTATGTAGTGGATAACAAGCCAGCCTAGGCTACATACAACCTTATCTCAAAAGAATAGCACAGAGGCTGAAAAGATCCCATGCTGCTTTTGTAGAAGTTCCATCCCCAGCACTCAGATAAGACAGCTCCCAACTGCCTATAACTCCAGTTCTGAAGGAATCCAATACCTTTGGCCTCTGGCACTCACTCACATACACATACAAATCTTAAAAAGATAAGAGGTGGGGTGGACAGTTGACTCAAGGGTTAAAGCACTTGCTGCTCTTCCAGAGGACCCATGTTCAATCCAGCACCCACATGAAGGCTCACAACTGTCTGTAACTTAAGTTCCAGGGGATCTGTCAGGCTCTTCTGGCCTCCATGGACAGCAGGTACACACATGATACACAGACATAGATACAGCAAAACACCATACATACACATTTTTATTAAATCAATTTAAAAATACAAGATTCAGAATTATAACCTTGTTTATAATTACCGTCCTTGAATACACATTTCTCAATTTTGTGTCATTAAAAATAGCAAAAGCATCACGCCCCAAAACATGGATGCTTTGCACAATTGAACATAGTTTCTATTGTTGAAAAACATGAAATTTCCTATGTTGTTTCTGGTGTGTAGTTTCTATGTTTACATGTGTTGCAGCAAATATTATTTTGGGGGAAAAGTCAAAACTTGGTTTTTTTCCAAATATTAGTCCCCTGTACTGAAACTAGCTAGAATACTCATTTCTTCTCTTCTGTATCACATGTACAAAGCTATAGAACATCATAGTTTTCTGTTTTGTTTTGAGACACAGCCTTGCCATATAGCCCTTGGCAGAATATATGTATATTACAAGTTACTACTACTGGAGAGTTACAAGGAAGCAGAACAGACCTGGAGCAGACTGTCGTAGAGTATGTAGAACACAACTTGAGATCTGAGCAGCAATGCTTCCAGAAGGATGAAGGGGAAAAGATGATGAAGATGAGGTGCTGACTTAATCTTTATTCCCGTAGCTAGTGTAAGCATACGGTTAGTCAGGGTCTGGTTTTTTTTTGTTTGTTTGTTTGTTTTTTCGTTTTTGTTTGTTTTGGGGGGTTGTTTGTTTCTAAGACAATGTCTCAGTATGTAGCCCCCAATGACCTGTATTTCCTACGTAGACTAGGCCTAGCTCAAACTCACAGAGATCCTCCCACCATGCACATTATCAGGGTCTGTCTTAAGAGGACTAATAGCGGATTCATTAGCATAAAGTTGCCATGAGCAAACAAATCAAATATAACCCAGGATTCTGATAAAGGTGCTATGGTTTGAATGAGATGTCTCCCCAAAACTCATGTATTGAAGACTTGCTCCCCACACAATGTTCGGAGGTAAGGGCTTTGGCAAAGTGACCGGACCAGTGCTTTGGTGGACTCATACTTGGATGGCATTTTTGGAGGTGATGAAACTTAGTATGGGGGTGTTGGCTGGATTAAGTAAGTCACTGGGGGTGCACTTGAAAGTCTGTTTTGACCCTCTCCTCCTCCCTTTGTTCCACCTGTCCTGTAATGTCCGTCCTCATCACAGGCCTACAACAAGGAAGCCAGCCAGCCATGAGCCGATACTTCCAAAACGGAGAGCCTAAATAAAGCCACCTCCCTGAAATTATTTCCAAATATCTTTTTACTGTGACAAAAAGTGACTGACTCTGAAGTATTTGAGGAATTTACTCAGTACAATAAAGGTTTTCCGTATCAGTCATGCAAATTATACCTTTCTGTGACCAGAATGGCAAAAATGTAGAAAGTAGCTGTTTTCTCAACGTGAACCATCATAAAGACAAGAAGGAAGCTGGGTGTAGTGGCACCCATATAACTTTTCTGAATAATTAGGCCAGATACATGATGCATGCCTCTAATCCCAGCACACTCACAAGGCAGAGACGGGAAGATCTCTGTGAATTTAAGGCCAATTGGGGTTACATAATAAGACTCAAAAAAAAAAAGAATGTAAAATATGCACCATTTTAAAAATATAACAGGTATGAAATAACTATAGCAACTACCTCTAAAGAACTGCATTACAGCCGGGCAGTGGTGGCGCACGCCTTTAATCCCAGCACTCGGGAGGCAGAGGCAGGCGGATCTCTGTGAGTTCGAGGCCAGCCTGGTCTCCAAAGCGAGTTCCAGGAAAGGCGCAAAACTACACAGAGAAACCCTGTCTCGAAAAAAACCAAAAAAAAAAAAAAAAAAAAGAACTGCATTACAAAGGTCTTTTCATTTCTATACCACGTTTTTCTAAACTACTGCACTCTTTCAGGGCACAGCTAGTACTCTCTTAATCATACATAAGTAAATATGTACATATATATTTTATGTGTTGGAGTACTGGGGAGAGTACATTACTGGCAACACAGAAAAAACATCTCGGGAAACAATAAGCAAGAGTGATTCTCCAAGAGTCTAGAAGGACAGTGACTCCATACAAATTTATAGTCCAGATCCGTTCTTTCCAACTGATGACCTATAGATGCCACTGAGTGTCTTTCTTAAGAGTGCAATCTTTGCTTTGCTACTAGCAGCTATGAAAACATCCCCAGGGCTCTCTCCAGGTCCACTATGACTGTTGTCCTCCTGTTTTTCCATGAAAGCTGAGTCTTAAGTTCTTTGGGGTTGTTTATCCAGGGCTTGTTTTCTTTTCAGTCAGTGCTGAGGACCAAATGAAGGACTTTGTGCCTGTTAGGGAACTGCCCACCACTGAGCTGCATCTCCAGCTCAGTTTGAAATTTTAAACAGTATTTATTTGGGGGTTTGTATTTTTACTGGGTTTTTTTGTTTGCTTGGTTTTAAGTTTTGGGTGTTTGTTTGTTTGTTTGTTTGTTTTTCAAGACAGAGTTTCTCTGTGTAACATCCCTGGCTGTCCTGGAATTCACTCTGTAGACCAGGCTGGCCTCGAACTCATGGAGATCCGCCTGCCTCTGCTTCCAGTGCTGGGATTAAAGGTGTCCACCACCACCTCCCGACCTATTTTTATTGTTAAAGTTGCACTTTGCTGGGGGTGTAGCTCAATGGTGGAATCCTTATGTAACATGTACCAAGGCTGTAGGTTCATTCTTATCACTGGGGAAAAAATACATTATATGTATTACTTTGTATAAGATGTGTCAGTAATGTATAGCATGTCTGTGTGTTGGGAAACTTAAAGGAAGAAGCAAGAAAATAAATAGAACAATCATCTTCAAAATGGGATGGGCTGGAGATATGGCTCAGTAGTTAAGAGCACTCCCTGGCTGTTCTTGCAGAACAATGAGGTTTGATCCAGCATCCATATGGCAGCTCTCAATTGTTTTTAACTCTAGATCTACGAGATCTGACGCCTCTTTTGGCCTCTGAGGGCACTAAGCACACGTGGTGCACAGACATACAAGCAGTCAAAAATTTATCTTTTTGTGTGTGTGAGAGAGACATCTATCTCATCATGTAGCTGTGTTTGTCCTAGAACTTGCTATGTAGACTAGGCTGGCCTAGAACTCAGAAATCTGCCTGCTTTTGCCTCCCATAGCTGGAATTAAAGTTGTGTATTACCACATGATGAACCAGCCTGCCTCCATTTTAGGCTTAAAAGCCATCTTATAGTAAAGACAAACTATGCTCATTCCATTTATGATTAAATCTCTGTTTCTCAAGGATTGGACCATGCCCCAACCTGTAACCTTAACTACAAATGGTTCTGTACTGACTGTTCTAGGAAACAGCAACCATGTCTTTGTTTCAAAAAGTTGTTAGAACCATCTTGCAGCTCTACCTTTGTTTCAAAAGGTTATTATGACTACCTATTGTTATGACTGCCTTGTTAGGACCAGCTTGCAGTCATGTCTTTGTTTTAGGAGGTTATTATTCCTAACTCGTTATGCTTATGCTCTGCCCAGCCTATTTTGCCAGCCAAATCTCTCATTTAGAAAGTCTCTATCTAGCCTTGAGCTATAAAAACCCTGTCTTCCAGCCAGGTGGTGGTGGCACACGCCTTTAATCCCAGCACTCCGGAGTCAGAGGCAGGCTGATCTCTGTGAGTTCCAGGTCAGCCTGTTTTACAGAGCAAGTTCCAGGATAAGCTCTAAAAGCTACACAGAGAAACCCTGTGGGGGGGGGGGGACGGGGACGGGGACGGGGACGGGGACGGGGACGGGGACGGACGACAAAACAAAACAACCTGCCTTTCTCTTTGCTGACCTCTTGAACTCCACCTTAGGAGTTGGAATAGTATTGGAATAAAAAAGCTTGCTTTAAGCCAGGCAGTGGCAGCACACACCTTTAATCCCAACACCCAGGAGGCAGAGGCAGATGGACCTCTGTGAGTTCAAGGTCAGATAGGTCTACAGAGTGAGTTCTAGGACAACCAGAGCTACACAGACAAATCCTGTCTTGAAAAAACAAACAAAAATTTACATCCACTGTATATAAAACCATACTTTCAAGGTGTCTATGAGATTTGCTGGAGGGGTAGAAGACATCCCAGCAGACAACTATAACCAGAAGGTAACCTGGAAACATGCCAGCAAGTGCCCTACAGTAGAAGTTCTCCAAGAACAAAGGATGGCTGTGACTGTTCCAGAAAAGGTCTCTTTCTTTCCTCTCCCTTCTCCCTCTCACATATTTGTTCCTAGGTTTGTCTTCTTTTCAAACTCAGGTGCCACAACAAAGTACCACAATCCGGCGGCTTAAGACACTACTAATACTAATACGTCTTCCTCATCATTCTGGAGGCCAGAGACCAACAGTAAATGTTGACAAAGCTGGTTCCTTCTAGTAGATGCTGAAGAAAAACCTCCACCCTTTCTCCAATCTCTGCCTCCATCATCACACGGCCTTCCCTGGGCATCTCTCTGTCTTTATCTCCTTTCCCTGAATCTCTGTCTTCTTTTCTCACAGGAAACCAAGCTTGTTGGACTAAAGACCCTCAGCAATCTTGTATGTCTTAATCTTAGTGAATAGCATATGTAAAGCATTTTATGTCCAAAAAAAAAAAGAGGGGTCACATCCATAGGACACACCATTCAGCCCAGTGTAACCACCAAGCAGCACCCTTCTTACCAAATCAAAAAACATACTGTTAGGAGGGCTGAGGATATCAAAGTGCTGGGTTCAGACCCTGCACTGACCCTTTACATATCTTTGTATACAATGTATATAGTTAGAAAATGTATCGAGCCAACAGACTAATAATACACAAATTTCAGTCAGGGGCGTCTTTGTTGTTATGTTTTTGAAATAGGGCCTCACATATCCCAGGTTTCCCTGAACTTACCATGCAGCCAACTGGCCTTAAACTCTTGATCTTCCTACCTCTACCTCCTAAATTCTTAGCCCACAGGCCTGCATCATCACCACCCTGGGCCACATGGTAACACCAAATCAAATAGGTCTTTTAATTAAAAAACAGAGCCAGATATTGGGGTACATGCTGAAAGATCAGAGAGACAAAAGAACAAGCCACTGCCATGTCTCACCTCGCCAACTCCATGAATCCTCTGATTAAGTGTCTCTGAGTCCTCAGTGGAAAGGGGTCCAGCCAAAAAGGGCTTCAGCCCAAAAAGGGCTTCAGCCTGAAAAGCCTTTCAGCCGAGAAGCTCTGGGCTGAATGGCTCTGGTTCCTGTCTCCTCATGCTTTATATACCTTTCTCCGCTCAGCCATATCACTTCCTTCTGAGTACTGGGATTAAAGGCATGTCTGCTTCCTTAGTAATGGCAGCAAAGGCAGGAGATCTCAAGTATTGGAATTCAAGGTGTGTGTCACTGCTGCCTGGCTCTGTTTCTCTCCTAGACTGAATCAATCTCTTGTCCAGGGTGGCTTTGAACTCACAGAGATCCAGATGATACAAAATAGGGGCTGGAGAGATGGCTAAATGTTGAAAGGCACTTGCTGTTCTAGCAAAGGACCTGAGTCTCAGGACCTATGTCAGGCAAACCACAACCTTCTGTACCTCCAGCTCCAGGGCACTGACACCTCTGGTCTCCCTGGGCACTTGTACTCACATGCACATATCTGCATGCAAATGCTCACACCTTAACATGATTTGCTTGCTTTTTTTTTTTCTTTTCTTGTTTTTTTGTTTGGTTTTGTTTTTGAGACAGGGTTTCTCTGTGTAGTCTTGGCCATCCTGGAACTTGCTCTGTAGACCAGGCTGGCCTTGAACTCAGAGATCCATCTGCCTCTGCCTCCCCAGTGCTGGAATTAAAGGTGGACACCACCGCTGCCCAGCTAACACACAATTTGAAATAACAAAAATAAATCTTAAAAAACAACAACTAAATTCTCTGCAGACAAAAGCAAATCTCGGGGCTGGGGATTTAGCTCAGTGGTAGAGTGCTTGCCTAGTAAGCACAAGGCCCTGGGTTCGGTCCTCACCTCTGGGGGGAGAAAAAAAAAAAGCAAATCTCACAGCCCCCTAGATTAGTGTCTGGATTCTTTAGCCTGGTACATGATGTCCTAAGCAGCCCCTCTGCCTCCCAGCTGTTCAAGCCAGCTTTGTGCTCCTCTCCCCTTGGTCTATGGCTTTTAGCTCCAGTCTGCTAAACTGTTTGGAGGTGGGGGGGAGGCTTCTCCTTGTCATCTTGTGCCCCCCCCCCCCCCCCCCCCCCCCCCCCCGCGCGCGCCATCAATTCGTTTTACTTCCACTGCTACTTAAAACAATGTTCATCCTTCACCTCTCTTGTCTCCATGAGGATGGTCCCATTCCCTTTTGGACAGGTGTAGAGCAAGGCTGCTCGGTCTTTGTCCTCTCTCAGCCCATTTTTGCCCAAGAAAATGTGTGTCTCTGGCTGGCCTGGAACTCGATATACAGACCAGAATGGTGTAGTGAAATATTGTGTACCCTAATAAACTTGCCTGAGGATCAGAGGACAAAGCCAGCCACTAGATTAGACATAGAGGACAGGCCGTGGTGGCACACACCCTTAACCCTATCACTAGAGAGGCAGAGATCCATCTGGATCTCTGTGAGTTCCAGCACTCAGGAGGCAGAGGCAGGAGGATCTCTGTGAGTTCAAGGCCAGCCTGGTCTACAGATCAAGTTCGAAGGCAGCTAAGACTACACAGAGAAACCCTGTCTCAAAAACAAAACAAAAAAACAAAACAAAACAGTCCGGCGGTGGTGGCTAATGCCTTTAATCCCAGCACTTGGGAGGAAGAACCAGGTGGATCTCTGTGAGTTCGCGGCCAGCCTCGTCGACAGAGTGAGTTCCAGGACAGCCAGAACGGTGTAAAAAGACCCTGTCTCAAAAAACAATAATAAAAGCCCAACAACATAAAAAACTTGTCACAAAGGGGAAAAACGATGGTAACATCTGAGTGGGGATTGTAAATGACCTTGACTTCCTATGCACTGGGCACTTCTGTTTTCTTTCTGTGTGTGTCAATTCTTTGGCTGTTTTGGTTAAGACAGGTATTGAAATATAGCCCAGCACTCTGGAGAGGCAGGCACAACTCTATGGCCAAACTGTTCCAGTCTAGCCATGATAGCTAATGAGACCCTTAGTTCAAATAGTTCAAAAAAAAATAAAAATAAAAAGATAGCCCATGCTGGCCCTGAACTTGCAATCCTCTTGCCTCACCCTTCTGAGTTGCTGGGATTACAAGTACGAGGCACCAAACCTGGTTTCTTTCCATTTTAGTTTACTTTACTTATTTATTTTTTAATTCTGTGTATTTGTGTGAGTCCATGTGGAGATATGTGCACATGTCGTCTGCAGGTGCCCAAAGACCAAAGGATTACTGGATCCTTTGGAACTGGAGTGTCAGGCAGTTGTTAGCCACCAGACGCCAGATGTGGGTTCTGAGAAGCCCCTCTCCAGGCCCCTGGGCTCTTTTAGAATGATTTTAGTTTTACAGAACAATCCCGCTTGTTTTTCTTCCTATACGATGATCTGCTCACTGAATTTCCGTCCACTCTGCTAGCTTCCCCTTCCCTTGCAGCGGCCCTTGGGTGACAGCATTAAGACTATGTCCACCATCCCCCCAGGGCTCCATGCCACCATTCGATCACGATCTGTGCTGCTTTAGGTTCCAGGTTCTGTGTCTCTCAGAGACAACTGTCAGTAAACGTGAAAAATGGATGGCATCGTTGTGACTTTCCTCCAACCTCAACTGACACCTTTGTCTTCACACCAGGCACTCCCCCTTACATCTGTCAAAGGCTAGGTTCATTCCCTACAAATTTGTTTCCTCTTCAAGTTTCCAAGTCCTGCCTGTGTGTTTCAGCTGGCACTGGTCACAGTGGGCACTCAAGAGGTACTTGTTAGACTATATTATAAGCATCAATACTCCGACAAATCCAACAGGGATAAAGAACAGGGGAGGACAGGGGGAGGCTTCGAGTCTTGGAGGCCAGGAGCTTGTTGTTGTTGTTGTTCTGCTGTTTTGAGACAGGGTGTCTGTCTAGCCTGGAATTTACTACGTAGACCAGGCTAGCTTTGAACTCATAGAGTGCAGTGCCATGGCTGGTTTTCTAAATTTTGTTTTGTTTTGCTTTGTTTTTTGAGTTAGAGTCTCACTATATAGTCTTAGCTTGCCTGGAACTCACTATGTAGACCAGGCTGGCTTCAAAAACGTAGAGGTCTGCTTGTCTTTGCCTCTCAAATGCTAGAATTTAAAGGTGTGAGCCACCATCCCCAGCTTTAAAAAAAAATTTTTTTAATATTCTGAATATCTGAGTGTGGGTGTATGCAAACAAACCCAGGTGCTGGCAGATGCCAGAGGAGTTAGGTTCCCTGGAGCTTGAGATATAGGTAGTTGTGAGGTGCTCAATGTGAGTGCTGGGGTTAATTCAGGGTCTTCTGTAAAAGCGGTGTATGCTGTAGTCTGAATTTTGTTCTGTAAAACAGGGTCTTGCTGTGTGGCCCCAGTTGGCCTCCAATCAAAGTAATCCTCCTGCATTCCCCTCCCAAGGACAGGGTGTGTAGGTGTGTACCACCACACTCCATTCTGCCAGGTTTTTGTCTTGTTGAGACAGGCTCTCACAACCTAGCCTTGACTAGCCTAGCCCTCCCTCTGTAGTTACCAGGCTGTCCTCAAAGCGGTGACAATCCTCTCGGCCCTGCCTCCTGGGTACTACAATGAGGCTCTGTCTGGTTAGGTTTGTATTCGGGTCTTTTGTTGTTGGTCTTTGTTTTTAGTCCATTTGCTTTTGGAGACCTTCTCACTTTATAGCCTAGGCTGGCATGGAATTTGTGGCAATCCTGCCTCAGCCTCCCGATGCTGGGGTTCCAGGGACACCCACTGCATGGGCAGCTGTGTCACGTTGTATTACTACTTCTGGTTTTGGTTTTGGGTGCTACGTAGGACACCCCCAGCCTCGGTTCCCTCTCAAAACGAGCAAAGAGAGCCGACGAGGCTTCCTCAGGGATTTTGACACTAGAGGGATTTGGATTGTTTGGTTTTGCCCCTCTCTCGGGGTCTCCTCACTCATGCTCACTGTCCCTCTGTGACTTCATTCTTTGTCTCTGGTTCCATTCCCTACTCTGTGACGTCATCAGAGGTGCCGTTTGCGCATGTGAGTCGGAGGGCTCGCCAGCCTGGTTTGCTCAGACTCAGCTTTGGAGACGGGTCTGGAACTGAGCTCCCTGTACCTCATCCTCGGAAGCAAAGTGGAGATCCACTTCCGGTTGGCTTCTACCTGGAGCAGGTGATGTGCATTTGGCTTCTGGAGCAGCTTCCAAGAGGCCAAGGGTGTATCTACTGCCATTTCTAGAGTTCCTTTAATGGTTAGAGTCTAACCCATGGCGGTCTCCCCACCATCCCAGGCCAAGCAAAACAAAGTCCCATCAGCCTTAGAACTGCCCCAGAGGCTGGCACCAAGCCTAGAGCAAAAACCGGAGTCTCTAGGAGAGGAACATTCGTGCATACTGAGGGCCACAGCTGCAGCTCAGACCCTAGCCAGTATCATCCGGCCTTGCTATGGCCCCTATGGCCGGCAGAAGTTCCTGGTGACTGCTAAGGGGCAAACCGTTTGTACAGGTCATGCCGCTGTCATCCTCAGGGCTCTGAAACTGGAGCACCCAGCTGCCCAGTTTGTCCGAGAAGTAGCCCAAACACAGGCAGAGAACACTGGGGATGGCACAGCCTTTGTAGTTCTCCTGACTGAAGCCTTGCTGGACCAGGCCCAGCATCTTTTGTGGGCTGGCTTAGCTCGAACCCAGCTCCGGGAGGCCTTAGCCACGGCCACAGCAGAAGTCCTGACAGCTCTGCCTTCCCTGGCCATCCGCGCTCTAGGGCCTTTGGAAGACCCATCCTGGGCCCTCTATTCTGTGATGAACACCCACGCCCTCTCCCACACAGAGTATTTAACCAAGCTCGTGGCTCACGTGTGCTGGGTTAACAGGGAGCCAAATGGCAGCTTCAAGCCTGAGCGTATTGGCGTGTGCATGCTGCAGGGGGGGACGCTGAATGATTCTCAGATTCTCACGGGGTTAGCAATATCTGGGAAGCCCTGTGGACAAAAGACCGAGGTGCTAGCTAATGCCAGGGTGGCCCTGTTTATTTGCCCCTTTGGTCCGACGAATACATTTGCCCTGGCCACACCCTGTCTCTCCAGCTCTGAAGAACTACTAAGATTTCGGAAACAAAATGAACAAGTGGAAAACCAAGTAACCGAGCTGGCTGCAATGGACATTAATGTGGCAGTGGTATGGGGGGAAGTTAATGAGAATTTGGTGCTCCAGGCTGACAGTTGTGGCATCATGGTGATTCAAGCCAAATCCCGAAAGGAGATGGTCTACCTGAGTGAGATGATGGGTACTCCTCTGCTCACGCGGCTGCTTCCGCCCCCGGAGCAGGGGAAGTGCCAGAAGGTTTACAGGCAGAAGTTTGGAGACAGTGTGGCAATGATGTTTGAGTGGGAAAACGAGAGGTCACCTTTTTTCACGGTGCTCCTTAGGGGACCTACCATCCAGGGACTTCGGGGTGCAGAGCAGGCTGTCTACCACGGCATTGATGCATTTTCCCAGTTGTGTCAAGATCCCAGAGTGCTGCCAGGAGCTGGTGCTACAGAAATGGCTCTAGCAAAAATTCTGGTGGACAAAGGCAGCCGACTGGCAGGCCCCGACGGTCTGGCCTTCCTAGCATTTGCCCAAGCCCTGCGTTCTCTGCCTAAAACCTTGGCCGAGAACGCAGGCTTAGCTGCCCAACGTGTGATGGCAGAAATGAGTGGAATTCACCAAGCTGGGAACTTCCTCGTTGGAGTGGGAGCAGACGGGATCATAAACGTAGCCCACGAAGGGGTGTGGGACATACTCAGGGCCAAAGCCCAAGGCCTACGAGCTGCCGCTGAGCTGGTGCAGCAGCTGGTGGCTGTCGATGAGATCATAGTGGCCAAGAAGACTCCTGTCTATCAGCAGATTACAAAACCCACCTCGAAGGCCAAGGGATCCTCACCCCTGAAAGAAAAATTTTTTGGAAAGTACATATAGCAACATGCTAAATAAAAGTGAAGATTGTCCGGATTGAATAGTAACCCCCAAATACTGGTGTTTTTCCTTATTTCTTTCCCATGCGTCTGGGGCTTCTAGGGCCAATTGTTTGTTTGTCTGATGTTGTTTTTGCTTTTTCTAGACAGGGTTTCTCTCTGTAACAGCCCTGGCTGCCTTGTAATTTGATGTGTAGACCAGGTTGGCCCCTAAATACTAAGGCGTGTACCACCATACCCATTAGAGACAGTTTCTAACCTTTTTTTTTTTTTTTGGTTTTTCGAGACAGGGTTTCTCTGTGTAGTTTTGGTGCCTGTCCTGGATCTCACTCTGTAGACCAGGCTGGCCTCGAGCTCACACAGATCTGCCTGCCTCTGCCTCCCGAGTGCTGGGATTAAAGGTGTGCACTACTGCTGCCCGGCCAGTTTCTAACCTTTTAAAAGATTTATTTCTGTGTGGGGAGGGCCAGTGTTGATGTGTGGGTATGAGTATTTTCATGTGTGTGCAGGAGTGTGTCAGATCCCCTGGAGCTGAAGTTACAGGCACTTGTGAGGGTCTATGTGGGTGCTGAGAAAGGAACTCCGGTCCTCTGGAAGAGCAGCAAGTGCTCTTAACCACTGAACCATTTTTCCAGCACTTAAAGTCAGGGTGTAAACAACTTAAAAATGGGTGTGGTGGTGCAGGTCTGTACTCCCAGCATTGGGGAGGTGGATGCAGAAGGATGAGCAGCTCAAGGTGATGCACAGTGAATTTGAGGTCAGTTTGGTCCACAGAAGTAAGACCCTGTCTCAAAACACTAGGGATGGGGACTTAGCTCAGGTGGCAGCATGCTTGCTTAACATGCACAAAATCCTAATCCGGGGCTGGAGAGATGGCTCAGGGTTAAGAACACTGGCTGTTCTTCCAAAGGTCCTGAGTTCAATTCCCAGCAACCACATGGTGGCTGAAAACCATCTGTAATGAGATCTGGTTCCCTCTTTGGGCCTGCAGGGATACACGCAAACAGAGCACTGTACACATAATAAATAAATAATCTAAAAAAAAAAAATCCTAATCCCCAGCACCACATACTAACACCTGGAATTCTAGCACTTGGGAGTCAGAGACCGGAAGAGCACAAGTTCAAGATCACCTTTCGCTACTCAGTAAGTTTGAGGACAGATTCAGCTAAATAAGACCTTGTCTCAGAGGAGAGGGAAGAATGGCAAGAGAGAGATTCTTTTTATTAACAGGTCCATTCCAAGTCTTAACTTTTCTATTTCCTGTTTCCATCACACCTGTTTCTACAATAACAGCAGATGCAAAGGTACAGTTCTAATAATTTCAAATAGAGTAGCTGAACTTTGGGGGTGGAAAGAAAAAAGTACAGTCATCTTTTCGAAACTCTGAACATTCCTTCTATGGTATTAACATGTGTGGATTTCTGTCTAGACATCACTGAAACTCTCTAAAAGAACCAGTTCTAACTTAGAAGAGTGGCCAGTAATTCTCCAATTATCTGGGGGAAAAAAATGACTATCATTTTGAGACTACAAAAAAAGTTTTAAAAAACTAATGCAGGAAAATGAGCCCCATAAGCAAGCAAATTTAAGTTGTATTTGTTTGTTTGGCTTTTGGCTTTTCAAGACAGGGTTTCTCTGTGTATCCCTGGCTGTCCTGGAACTCACTTTGTAGACCAGGCTGTCCTTGAACTCAACAGAGATCTGCCTGCCTCTGCCTCCTAAACGCTGGGATTAAAGGCGTGCACCACCATGCCTGGCCTGGCTGCTTTTCTGTAGCCAAGGCTATAGAGAGACTGTCTCAAAACAAAACAACAAAAATTATTTATGTGAATATGTATCTCTCTGTGTGTACGTGTGTGTGCTACATGTGTGCAGGTACCCACAGAGGCCAGAAAAGAAGAGGGTGTCAGATTTCTTAGTGGGTGCTGGATCCTCTGGAAGAGCAGCAAGTGCTCTTAATCACTGAGCCATCTCTCCAGCTACCTGTTTTTTCATGTTTTTTTTAAATCTATTTTATGTGTATGAGTGTTTTGCCTACATGTATGTACACTACATGTGTGCCTGGTGCCCACAGAGGTCAGAAGAGGGTACTGGGTCTCCTAGAACTGAAGTTACTGACTGTTGAGAAGTCTGTGCCCATGCTCTGGGGTGTGACTTTCTTTTGTTTTATCTGACCACCTATTTCTTAGCCCTTACACTTATATTCAAAGTCTACATTAAATGTATGTAATTTAAAATTAGAAATCACCATAGAGAGATTACTCAGTGTTTGAGAGCACTGGCTGCTCTTGCAGAGGACCTGGGTTTAATTCCCAACACTCGTAACCCATAATCATCTGTAAACTCCAGGGGCTCCAACACCCTTTTCTAACTAATGTGAGGACTTTTTTTTTTAAGCAATCCATTCCCTTACCCATCATTGTATTGCCCAAATCCTAAGCATCTCTATCACAGACATTGTCAGAGGCATATCCCTGTGATCAGGGATCTATTTCAAAACGGTTCTTTGAAACGTTTTTGTGTGTGTGTTGGCCCCAGGGCAGGCAAGACAGCCCATCAGGTAAAGGCATTTGTACCAAGCCCGGCAACATGAATGTCATTCCTGGGATCAACACAGAGGAAGGAGAGAACTGACTATCCAAAGTGATCCTCTGATTTCCACATGCATGCCCTGGCACACGTGGGAGCACACATGTGCGCGCGCACACACACACACACACACACACACACACACACACACATTCCTGTACACGTGACCCCTCCCCAACAAAATCGCACACACAAATGTCAAAAAGAAAAACTTAGGACATGTGAAATGAGAAGACGATAAAGGTGTCTGAGGTCATCCTTGACTACATGGCAAGTTTGAGGCTAGCTTGTGCTACATGAGACCCTATCTCAAACAATTTTTTTAATTTAAGTATTTCAGCCATGCCTAGTGGCATACAAGTTTAATTCCAGCACTAGAGAGGTAGAAGCAGGCAGATCTCTGTGAGATTTTTTGGTTTTTCGAGAGGGTTTCTCTGTGTAGCTTTGGAGCCTGTCCTAGAACTCACTCTGTAGACCAGGCTGGCCTTGAACTCACAGAGATCCACCTGCCTCTGCCTCCTGGGTGCTGGGATTAAAGGCGTGTGCCACCACCGCCCAGCTTGATCTCTGTGAGTTTTAAAATCAACCTGGTCTACATAGTAAGTTCTAGGCCATCCAGGGCTACAGGGTGAGACCCTGTCTGAAAACAATAAAAATAAAGGTAAATAAAAATTTAAATTATTGCTATTAGTTTTCTTTTTTTGGTTTTTAGAGACAGGGTTTCTCTGTGTAGCTTTGTGCCTTTCCTGGAACTCACTTGATAGCCCAGACTGGCCTCGAACTCACAGAGATCCGCCTGCCTCTGCCTCCCAAGTGCTGGGATTAAAGGTGTGTGCCACCACCGCCTGGCTATTGCTATTAGTTTTTAGTTTTTTTGTTTCAATACAAGTTTTTATTTTGTGGCCCAACTAGGTTTGAACTCGCTATGTAGCCCAGGCTAGCCTAACTGATCCTCCTGCCTCAGTCTCCCTAGTGGTAGGAATTACAGGCCTGAGCTACCATGCCCTAACTAGGTATTTATTTCCTTGTCCTCATTCTCTTCCTTTTTTTTTTTTAAATTGAAAATAGTTTTTTCCCATGCTTTTTTGTTTGTTTGTTTGTTTTCAAGACAGAATTTCTCTGTGTAACAGCCCTGGCTGTCTTGGAACTAGCTTTGTAGACCAGGCTGGCCTTGAACTCTCAGAGAATTGCCTGCCTCTGCCTCCTGAGTGCTGGGACTAAAGGTGTAAGCCACCACGACCTGGCCATACCATATATTCTGATTATGATTTCCCTTCCCCTGTCCTCCATTTTTTTCAAGATAGGGTAAAGATGCTTTCTGCCTAATGACATGACTTCTGTCTGCCCTCAGAACCCACGCACGGGACTCCGGAAGGGGAGAACTGACTCACACAGATTGTCCTTGAGCACCATGTACTTGCTGTGGCACACATGCAAGTACACATACACACAATAAAGAAATGTGAAAAAAAAAGCCATGATTATTTTGTAACAATATAAAGATGGCTCCTCATTTTAGTTATAATTCTAAGATTCCAAAGAGTGGGATTCCAGGCATATAGCACCACACAAGGCCATAATCTTCAGGCATCCAGAGTCGGCATAACCAAAAGAACACAAATTTCCCCCAAGGGCAGGTGATATCAAACAAGAGTCAAGGTGGTGGCAAGTCAGGTAGCTGCAGACAGAGCTCAGGGAAGAGGGCCTGAGTGGAGTGCCGCTCACAAGAAATGCTGCTATCTCAGTTCTGCCTCTTCACTCCCCGCTCTCTCTTGAGGCTCTTGGAATGGACCCCGGGTCCTTGTGCATGCTGGGAAATGCTGCAGCTTTCTACACCCTGCCAATGCCCCTGTGTATCTCAGGTTCTTTTAGCCTGGGCTGATGGCCATCTCCATTTGGCAGCCTGCCCCCTGAGTGCTCTATACTTCATGCTTGACCGAGAACCAGCAGTGTGAGCGTCGGTTACCATCGAGGACTGATCTGCCCCCACTGTCAACCTGTGGGGCTGATGGACAGCTTAGAGTTTGAGAAGCAAGCATTGATCTGGGCAGCAATTCCACACCACTGTGTCTGTATCATCCTAGAAACCAGAGTGGCAAAGATCCTTAGTGATGCCTGCACCAGTGTCCCATCATAGGACTCAGATGTCTTCTACTGGCAATGGAGAAGTGGGCCAGAACTTCACCTCCGTTTGGCAGATCCACATCTGCCTCTGGAGCTATAGAATGGAGGTCTCCTTGCCAGACCTCAGTTCTCAGGCCTTGGCTTCTGGTTGGCTCCATGTCCTCTTCTGACATGTACTTCTCTTCCATCCCAGACGGGGCAATGCCTGGGGCTCGTCCCCATTCTAGCGGACCTGCCTCTGTTCCCAGGTCCTTCCCAGTGTCACTCTCATGGCTGCACTCTCTGTGAGTTCTCTGTGTG